CCCAGGGTGTAACACAGCAATTCCTGGGAGAACTGCAAAGAATCAAAGGGGAAAACTTGCCCAGAGAAGCTGGGGATGCCCCATCTCTGCAGCCTCATCTAGTGAGTGTGGCATCTCTGCCCATGGCAGGGGGTTGGAAAGAGAGGATCTGTAAAGTCCTTTCCGACCCAAACCATTCTGTGATTCATTGTAAGTCTAGACAAGGCTTTGCTGAAAGGACCTGGCATCTATATGGGTGGCTTTTTTAGAAATAAAGATTTATGCACATAACTCAAAACCCATAAATAAGATATCACTCTCCCAGCAGAATAATCAAAATAAAATTAAAAGGGCAAACAGCAAATGAATATTGTATTTTTCTCTGCCTGTCACCATTCCTCAGCAGCAAATGAGAAATAACTGTGAATCTGCTTCACCTTAATGAACTTAACTGGGTCTTTTCAATATAGGGGAAAATATTAACATTTTATTCCAATAGCTGCATCCTCCTCCTCCTCTAGCCAGGCTGTGATTATCACAGTCCAAACACAAAGGGACTTGAAAATGTACATCCAAGGAGTGCTGCTGCCCCTCAGGTGGGTACAGCCTCAGGCACGGGGCCCCTGCAGCCCACAATGGTTTCTTTTCAAGGCTTATTTTTAATCCTTTAAAAACAGGTTCACACACGGGGGCAGCCAGATAATCACACGTGTCTCAGTGCCCTGCCTTGTTTTCTGGGAAACAAAGACCCCTCTGGTCTTTGCTGCCTTCTGATGAGGGCTCATCACTGTGCCCCCACACCCAGGCAGCACCCAACTCCCCTGCTCTGACAAACCCCACCCCAGCCAGAGCTTGGCTTTCCTCAACACTAATCCTAATTACAAGAGGAAAGGTTTTCCAGCAACAGCACCACCATGTGAGACTCGGGGATGGTTTCTCTGCTTTGAGCTGATCTCGGTGGGTTCAAAGCCAGGGAGAGGCCATTTCCCTGCTGGGCAACAGCAAATCCACGGGCAGTTTATTCCAGTTGCATCCACAAAGGGCTTGGATAAGGCAGAAAGCAGCACTGCCCGTGGAAGGGGGCTCGTGCTTTGCCTGTCTGGGTTAAATGTGCTTCTCCCACTTCCAGCAGGAGAGAAGTGGAGTTTCCAGCCGTGTCAGGCAGCTGGGAATGGGATGTGGGGAGATGGGGGTCACACAAGCCAACCTGCCACAAAGCCACAGCTCTCCCTGCCCGCAGCAAAAGGCACAGCTCTGTTTGCCCCCACCTTGGGAGGAAGCTTTTGTAGCTGCCCAGCAGCACCTTCCTGTCACAGCATCCCGGGGGCTGTGGCTGCACCTCCATCCCAGTGTCACCATCACCCTTTCAAATGTTAATGCTGAGTAACAGAAACACACTGCCTTGTGGGATCTTCCCTGCAGCGCCTGCAGGAGAATTATGGATGTCCTCTGGGAGCTGGGGAAGCTGAACTAAACGTTCCACGATTCTGGTCGTTGCCATTATCGTTCATTTTTTGCCTCGCACGTTTTTAGTGCTTCTCCCTCCAGCTCCAGCCCTGCAGCTCAGACACACCAGTGTACAAACTGCATAGGACAGGGCAGCTCTGGGGCCCTTATTTCATAGAAAAAGTGGTTTAGTGTATCATAAGCACCTCAAGAGGGTAATTTAACAGGGATTCAAGGCCACACAAACTCTGCTGCCCAGGTGTCTGACAGAGGAAGAGGGAGAGAGTGTCTCCACTCTGCCTCTTCCCAGCTACTTCAGCATGCACAGCTAAATTCCAGTGCTTTCCCACAACTCCACGTGCTCTGGGGGATCCCAAGAACATTTTTCTTGACATGAAAAGCTCAGAGAATTGGGGTTGCTCAGCCTGGGGAAGGGAAGGCTTCAGGGTGACCTAATTGCAGCCTTGCAGTGCCTGAAGGGAGCCAAAAGAAAGGTGGAGAGGGACTATTGACAAGGACCTGGAGTGACAGGACAAGGGGGAATGGCTTCCCACTGGCAGAGAGGACGTTCAGATGGGATATTGGGAAGAAATCCTTCCCTGGGAGGGTGGGGAGGCCCTGGCACAGGTTGCCCAGGGAAGCTGTGGCTGCCCCATCCCTGGAAGTGTCCAAGGCCAGGCTGGAGCAACCTGGGCTAGTGGAAGGTGTCCCTGCCCATGGCAGGGGGTTGGAATGAGATGATCTTTCAGGTCCCTTCCAACCCAAACCATTCCATGATCACAGTTCCATGATCAGAGCAGATGCAGGAGGCTCACAGCCCTTTTGGCATTCCAGAATTTTGGAAACATGCCTAGAAACAAGGACAAAAGTCCTAGGCTGGCACTTCTAGTGACACCTGAGCATCAGTTTGGATTCATGGAGGCTTTGACCACAAACTGCTTCTCTGGTGGATGAAACCCCAAAGCACTGGGACAGTGTCCACCAGCTGAGCCAGGAGTGGATGGGGTAGAAAAACAGCAAGTTTCACCCCAAAAAATACCCTTAATACTAGAGTTGTGTCTTGCTTGTTGCATAAAGTTTGCAAAGCTGGGAGGCAGAGACAGAGAAGGGATTTACAGAGGCAGTTACAGACAGAAGCACTTTAAAGAGCTACAGGAGGCCTTGCAAGGATTTTGCCAGTAGATCATCTGTCAGTGCTGCTAGTTAGGGCAATGCCATGGATAAACTACAACTTTGGCTTGTATATGAATTTTAAATGAGCTGTTAGCACACCCAATGAATCCAGTCAGAGAATGCCAATTTAGGGCCCTGACTGTCTGCTCTGCGAGACCAAGTAAATAACTCAGTAAATAACTCAGGCAAATTTCCTGACACTTTATTGAGCATGAGTGAACAAACAGAAAACAAACCCAGGATTAATTCTACAGGCACTGTGTGCTGCAGGAAAGCAGGGCTGGGGGAGATGCCTTTCTCCAGCTTTTGGTGGGGTTGGATGCAACACAACACGTTCAAGGGCACGCCTTGGGCAAGCACAAACTACTGGGGTCCCAAAATATCCCGAGATATTTTGGGAGGCTCTTTCCAGAGCTCCAGGATGTCTCAAGGCAGTTCCTTACACACCTCCTGGAGCTCTTAAAACTGCTCAGAACATGTTCATCCCTGCCTGCTCCCTCATACCCTGAGCACAACCAACTTCTGAGCATCTGTGGAGATGATGCTTCACCAAGACCAGACCAGGTGAGCTGAGTGACAAACAAAAGACACTCCTAGGAGAACATCTCCATTTTGGATAAAGCTTTTAGAGTTGTTTTTTCCCCCCCACAGAGGTCTCTAGAACAGTGTTAACAAGGAGGCTTTCTCCAGGACTGGAGCAGAAGGGAACACACAGAAAAGAGGTTGAAAAAACAGTTTGCACTGATGTTTTTTTCCTGTGTGCCAAGGAGAGAAATCGAGCAAAGACAGCCTCGTTATATGCATCCAAAGGCACAGGGAAGGTCACCCTGTAGCCAGGACTCTGCTCCCTCTTCCTGCCCAGATGATGCCTCTAAAGCTCACTGCAATGCAACACTCACTGTGGGCACCATCCAGGCCAGCAAAAATTCACTGTGTGCTCAAAGATGAGGCAATCTGCTGCCTAGGAACTCCACTGGGAAATTCCAGGGCCAAGATCCACCCAAAACCCCAAAAAGCAGCAGCAGGGAAGCTCAGGGCTTGGTTCACAAGCCAAGTGCCCCTGACTCAGCACCGCTGTGTTTGCTCCTGCCTGGAAGGGAAGTGCTGCAGGGAAAAATCTCTTCTTCCTGGTGAAGAAGCCACCAGGACATTGCCCATGTCCACCTCCCCTGACTGACCATCTAACTGTGCATTGCAGCAACCAGATGGCTTTGAGGATTGTTTTAAACATTAGCTTGCATTTTCTTTGACTATTTAAATGTTCATTCTGGTCTGTTTTTTTCCTTTCCTGTGCAGAGCCCTGATTTATGTTGCTGGATCCCCACATCTCCCTGCCTTGCCAAAAGCATGCACTTGGGAATGATTTCAGGGCCGCCAGTAATATTTTCCCCCCCTCTTTTTATTTTCTGCTTTATTTTTATTAACTTTTTTGTTGGAGGCGCCGTAAAAACCAAACTGTGTCTCGAAGAAACAACACTCATCAAACCCCCAACAAGTCCACATGGGGAACCCCTGAGTGCACAGACTCCAGATCTCTGAGCTGCTTCCTGCTCCACCAGCAGAGGGGAGAGGTAATTTTACATCAGGTGTCACCTGTGAAAGGTGCAAATGGGGGACAGGAATAGATTTGCTTCTTATCTGCAGCAAAGAGTTAATAAAGCCAGCTGGGAGCTCCAGAGAGAGCAGCCTGGAGAAGCAGTTTCCTTCCTAAACAACAGAGCCAAGTGTCAATACTTTGAGGCAAGTTTCATTACAAGCTTTCTGGATGCATTTCTGTCTCCTAATCCTGCACAGGCAGCCAGGGAAGATGATGGTGGCTCTGCCTGAACGCTGTTTAATACAACCCAAAGCAGACCAAATGCACAGGATTTTCTTACACATGGAGAAATTTGAATTTTTTAATGTCCTCGTGGCATCGCTTAACCGGGGGCAGTTTGGGCTCAAAAAACTCCTTGGCTCATCAACAGAGGACAAATACATTTGTGACAGAGAACTGTTTCATTTTATGTGGAGCTTAGGGGGGTAGGACACGGCACAGGGGGCAAGCTGAATTCCTCAGTGTGTCTTTGAGGGAGCGGCTTTCAATTTATACAACACGAGATTCCCATCAGGCAACGTTAACACCACAAAAATCAATATTGAAGTGCATAAACTCACCACAAACCGAATTTCATTTACAGCAGGGAGGAGAGAACGTTTCCAAAAATGCAGGTGGGACATTTAAAAGTGGAAGGAGAGAACATTTCCAAAATGCAGGTGGGAGCTCAGCAGATGAGTCGACCCCACCTGAACAGGGAGCACCCCTCCAAGGCAGGGCAGCCTCCACAGCATTCCCTGCTCCAGGAATTCCTACCCAGAGTGGCTGGTGTGGAAACAGAAATCAGAGCAAGGTCTGTACTCACCAATCCTCAGGGAATGGGGGCTGGCAGAGATCCTCATCAGCCACAGCAGAAGGAGCACCAGAGGCGCCAAGACACGGGGCATCTTCCATAAATCCTCATGGAGCCCTTTGGTGGTCTGGGCATGACATAACTCTGCAGAGACACAACACACGGCCCTGTGAGCACCTCTGCTCCCCCAGCAGCCCCTCACAGCAGGGTGGCACTGCCCCCCCAGCTTGCCAAGCACTTGGGGACAAAGACTCTGTTTAGCAAAGCTCTTTACGGACCATGAATTATTCAGGAATTGGAATCAAACCGGGCAAAGAGCTTCTAACAACAACAGCAACAACGACAACAAAAATATAAATGAAATTGAAAGAAACACAAGGAAAAGTCCAAATATTTCATCTTGGCATTTTCAGCATTTCAGCAAAAACAAGTGGAAATCAATATTGAGTCACATCTCTAACTTCTATTCTCGCCCACCTCCCCTTTTTTTTTTTTCCACTCAGAGCAGCCTGAAACTCAAAATATAAAACTGGCTTCTGGTTTTAGGATGGGACAAAACATTTTCATACCAAGGCATAATGTGAGGAATGAGTGTAGGCACAGACAGAGAGTCACTCTGGCCTCACCAAACTAAAAATCAATTCTTGGTAATGCTCCTGCCCCAGTGACAGTCACACCTCCTTCCCTCCTTTTTTAGGAACAAAAGGATTCAGCACAAAACCGAAATCAGGATCATCTTTTTTCCACCCCACCACACAGAGGTCTAAGTTCCAAAGTCAAAACACCATCAAAATGAAGAGCAGAAGGCAGAGAATCCACGGATTTATCACTAGCCCAGATATTGGCACTGGCTGTCCCAGAGCAGACTCCCACAGCACAGTTCAACAAAATTTGTAACATATTCCATTTTAAACAGCTACATGGAGGGTTGAGTTTTACTTTGTAGAAAAAAACGGTTGTCTCTGGAGTTGATAAAATTATCTCCACAGGCAGCAATGTCCTTAAATGCTGACTTTGAGTGTTTCATCTGTTACCTTATCTCTCCCTTCTCCAATTTTCTGGCAAACATTCTCACACTATTCCATTTGTCTAATTCTTGGGCCAAATATTAAAGTCCTGACACAGGCAAAGTCTTTAATCTGCCTTTGAAGTTACCAGGAGTTTTGTCCGAAAAAAAAAAGATGTAGCTTTTTACTTGCAATTTTTCAATTAATCTATTTTTAGATTACATTTAGACTTTCCTCCAGCTTATCTCAGCAGTCTCCATAGGGACTATCCCTTTTTACAGGCAGGAAACACTGAGACATGGCCACAGAAATAAAGACAATACAGGGAGCACTGGGACATCTCCACTCCTTGGGGTTTGATCATTTGCTGGATCACGTTTCCCTTGGGAAGCTCCCACCAGCAGCGCTGCCTTCTGCATCCCAATCCTCTCTGTTCCAGGAAATTGAGGGATCCCATGCTCAAATGTCAGCTGCACACTGGAAGGGCATCCTGATTTCAGTGTGCTCAACCCACTTTTAAAAAGCAGAAACTCCTCCAAACCGCCTGGAAATCATCAACCACCCCTGAGAAGGGCAATGGCAATTTTCTCCTTTTTCTTTTTCTTTTTTTTTTTTTAAGTGGGAGTTACAGAGTAATTCCTGAGGAGGAAAAGCCCTAAAAGGTTAAGCACACGGGAAATTGGTTCCTTGGAAGCGTTGGCAGCGGCAGAGACAGATTGTGGAGCAACATATCATTTGAGCACTTTGAAGCAGTTATTTTAAAACTTTCCAAGATACTGAGTTAAAAACAGCAGGATCAGGTCAGATTTACTCACACCAGTGGAAGTGTGAATTCCTGGCTGGGGAATTGGTGCTCGTGGCAGCTCAACTGGCAAAACAGCTGGTACAGGACCTCAGAGCTGTCCTGTTCCCCTAGGGTGGGGAAAGGCAGGCACAAACCCCACAATTCCCAGAGAATTGCAGGGAAATGCCTGCCTGCTGTTTGAGGAGGATGCTGGAGTTCACATCCCCATCATTCTCTGCCAAAGCCCTGTGGAATCACTTCAAGGAGGACATGGAAGGGCTGGAGCGTGTGCAGGGAAGGGAAGGGAGCTGGGAAGGGGCTGGAGCAGCAGGAGGGGCTGAGGGAGCTGGGGGGGCTCAGCCTGGAGAAAAGGAGGCTCAAGGGGGACCTTCTGGCTCTGCAACCCCCTGACAGGAGGGGGGAGCCGGGGGGGGGTCGAGCTCTGCTCCCAGGGAACAAAGGACAGGAGAGGGAACAGCCTCCAGCCTCAGGTTGGACATCAGCAGGAATTTCCTCATGGAAAGGGTTTTCAAGTGCTAGAAGGGGCTGCCCAGGGGGATTTGGAGTCCCCATCCCTGGAGGTGTCCAAGGAATGCCTGGATGTGGCACTCAGTGCCCTGGGCTGGGGGACAAGGTGGGGATGGGGCACAGGGGGGACTTGATGATCCTGGAGGGTTTTTCCAGCCTCAGTGATTCTGTGACTCCGTGAATCACCAACCCAAAACGAGTGGTTCTCATTTTAGGCTCTGCAAAGACGAACTGCACAAGGTCTGGGAAAAGGTCCTGTGACTTCCAGCTCTGAGGGACAGACCCCAAGGCCCCCTGTCCTGTTTGCAGCCAGGTTTGGTGAGGAGCTGAATGCAGAGATTCCCAGGGAAGCAGCAGCTGCCTGTGCACCACCAGCTCAGAGTTAACAGAAAGCTAAATAATAAATACAGGGCACCTGCTGGGCTCTGCTCCACGAGCAGCAGGGCTGTAATTACCTAGAACATGGAGCACAGGGGGATGCTGCCTCCACCTAACACATTCCCCACTGCTCCAAACGGCTTCCCAGCCCTTGGATGTTTGAGCACGAGCCCTGGGAACAGCTGGGAGTGAGAGAAACACACCTTGGGCTTTGCCAGACAGCAGAACCACGCAGGCTCCCACGAGCAGTGCCCACGGACCATCTGGCTGATGGAGGGGCTTGGAAAATACCTGGGGAGTGCAACACCAGGGTGCTCCCCCCATCACACCACACCTGCACTGCTGAGCAGCAGGGAGAGAGGCTGGGATCCAAGATTTGGGATGAGAGGGGAAGGGGAGAGAGGATTTTCCCCTCCTAGCCCAGCAGCAAGGCTTCTGCTCTTGAAGGGGTTTCTTCACCTGCCCAGTCCCCACATTTCACCTGCCTCCTCCTCTCTAAATTCAGGCATGAAAGGGTGGTAAACACAGTTCACTGTAAAGTAGTTTTTGCCTTGCTCACCTTCCCAAGCAGCTTTTGCATCCTTGCAGCTGCAAGGTGCACATCTGGGTGCCTCTCACCTCCCCAGGAGAAGCCATAAAACATCCCTCCTGCCCAGGTGCACCAAGGAACTGTAGCTACAACTGGGATTCCAGTGCAGGCAGTCAAGATTTAGGATAAGAGGGAAAGGAGAGAGGGGATTTTTCCCTCCTAACCCAGCAGCAAGGCTTCTGCTCTTGAAGGTGTTCCTTCATCTGCCCAGTCCCCATGTTTCACCTGCCTCCTCCTCTCAAAATTCAGGCACAAAACACAGTTCAAACCCTTCACTATAAAGTAATTTTTGCCTTGCTCACCTTCCCAGCTGCTTTTTCATCCTTACAGCTGCAAGGTGCATGTCTGGGTGCCTCTCACCCCCCCAGGAGAAGCCATAAAACATCCCTCCTGCCCAGGTGCACCAAGGACTCAGAGGTACAACTTTGGGTATTGACTCCAGTGCAGCCCAAAATTCTGCACAGAGAGGGAGGGAAGAAAACTGTCCTTCAGAGAAGGAAGCCAAGAAAACACTTAAGAGGCAAGGATATATAGCAACTTGCTGCACTAAGCCTTGTGCATGTGAAGATGACTTATCCCAAACTCATCCTCGGCACAGTTTGCTGAAAATAAATCAAAGCAACTTCCTCTGCTGAAGTTCCCACCAAGAACATGTCACAGCCTGTACATTTACAGCTCCTGCTGTAATGGCTCCTCTTTACTGTACTGACAGCATGCTATGATAGCCTGCTTGATGGACAGCTGTTTATGGAGCACTCTCAATCTGCTACCCCCAGAAGGAGTGGGATGCTTGGAAAAGAGTTTGCTGGGTCCTTGAGGGTGGTGGGTGCATTGCTGAGGAGCTGGTGGATCATGAGCTGACCCCTGGCTGCCCTCTGTGCAGCACAACTACGAAATTCTTTCTCTGTTAAGCCCCTTTTTTCATCTCTAGCTCGGAAAATTCAAGAGAATAAAAATAAATCAGGGCTATCCTGAAGAGTTTTGCGTTCTCTCTGGAGATAAAAGTCTCTAAATACCAAGCAGAATTATGGACGATTTGCTTCTCGGAGGGAGCAACTTGCTTCTGAAACTACTTATGCATTTTTAATGACTGTGTGAGATGGTGCTGCTCTTCACTGCTATCACCACGGCGTCCTGGTATGTGGAGATTTTTGCAGAAAAATTCGTAGACGGTGGAGCAAAAGCCAAAAGGCAGAAGAAAATGTTAAATCACGCCAAAGAAAAACCACCCTCCTCAAGCTGCCGTGCTGATAATGAAGAGTCCCTGAAAAGCAGCCACCTCCCTACTTGTTCCCTCTGCCCAGCCTGCCAAGGACACTCAAGAAAATCCAAGTACATTGTTATTTCATAGAATCACAGGATGGTCTGGGTTGAGAAGGACCCTAAGGATCATCTCGTTCCACCCCCTACCATGGCAAGGATGCCTTCCACTCATCCAGGTTGCTCCAACCTGGCCTGGGACCCTTCCAAGGATGGGGCAGCCACAGCTTCTCTGGGCAAAATCTCCAAAAACCCCATCACCCTGCAGAATGTGACCATCACCTGCAGGATTTCCCACCAGCTCTGCCACATCTGGCCCGGGAGATGGGCTGCAATCCCAGCAGGACAGGGCACAGCATCTCCAGCTTGCACTGGACCAGGCTTTCCAAAAAAAACCTCCCGTGTGTGCTTTATCCTGATGCAAACCCTCTGGAGAAACCACAAACACCCTTTAAAAAACTTGGCAGCGGCTTCTCCAGGCGCTGGGGAGAGGCAGAGCTTTACCCCCAGCACGAGTTTTGGGTGTTGACGGATCTTTCCGTGCAGCCCGAGGAGTGGTGAGAAAATGCAGCTCTGGCAGAGCTGGAGTAAAAAATCC